CTGAGCACCAGAACGACCAGACACAGGAACAGTTTCTTCCCTCAGGCAATCCATCTCATGAACACTTAACAATAACTGTTGAACACACACTATTTATACACTCATACACTTATCTAACACTCATACTCCGTCTACACCTAAAATTTGCACATAATATACAGTACCTGTACATACAAAACTGTCTATTGTAATATACCTGCACATACAATTGTCGATTTATATATTTTTATTCCTTATTTACTTCTATTTTAAATTTTTTATTATCTGTGTTTTTTGTTCTGTCACTGTCATTCTGTTACACTGTGGAAGCTTCTGTCACGAAAACCAATTCCTCATATGTGTAAACATACCTGGCAATAAAGCTCATTCTGATTCTGATATTAATGTAATCTTTATCTGTATCTGATTTAGAATGAGCAGAAATCTGTGAGAAATATAACGACCCAAAAACAAAAGAACTGATAAAAAAAGCTGTTATAGGAGCAACAGCCATGTGGGCAGCGCTGTGTCATATGCCATAGCTGTGCGCAAGGTGTTTGTCACAGCTCCAGACTTATTTGTTCATTAATGACGTCATCAGCGACTAGTCGACTTCGACTCGACTTTCATCACATAAAAGTCGACTTCAAAAAAATCAGAAGTCGTTCAACCCCTAACACACACACACACACTTGTGTCCCTTGATCATGTTTAATAATATCCATATTCATATATTAAGCATTTTTATTGATTTATGAAAATATTAATAATATATTATTGATGTTGCATTGATAATGGAGTAGGGAATTTTTAATGTATGTCCCCTGCAGAGTCGAGTGTACTGGAGTGACCAGTTGACCAACTCTATTTGTAGTGCAGACAAGCACAATGGCAACATGCTCCAGGTTTCTCAGAGGCTCGGTTCTGTTTCACCAACTGGACTGGTCATCCTTCACCCACTGTTACAGCCTTCAGGTAGTCAAAAATATTATCTTACTCAACTTGTTTTTCTTCCATATAGTAACTGTAACTTTCATTCTTGGTAGAGCCACAAAAGTTAAGCGTGTTAAGTTTCAAAAGGTTCAAAATTCAGTTAAGCTGTAATCAGCTCCACACCATAGTGTCTTTACTCAGCTCAGCTCAGTTCATTGTTGGATAAAAGTGTTGATGCTGCAAGATGCAATTCAGCTGTAAAGGAGCTCTACAGAAGACAGAATGTTATTTCCGTAACCTTAAAGACTTCAGCCTCAAGTGACACGTACAGACTTGATCAGTACTGTACAGTTTAAAAACATTCCCGTAGATCAGGAGTTCTCAAAGTCTACATTCAAAGGTCCAAATCTGAATTTTCATCAGTGTCAAAGGTCCGGACCGGAACAATTGGTTATTACAAATTTTGTTTTTAATAAACATACATAACATGCATAACAAATAAAACGTTATTTTAAAAAAAAAAATAAAGTGCAAAAGTGGCAAAACAATTCATTTACATTTAGTAATTTTGCAGACGCTTTTATCCAAAGCGACTTACAATTGGGGAATACATAAAGCGATTCTTCTTAAAGAGGCAAACAGACACAGGAAGTGCTTGAAATACCAAGTTTTAGGCATTGTTCAAATAAGTACAAGCTAGAAAAGGGAAGGAATAAATAAAGAAAAGTTTTTTTTGTTTTTTTTTTATATAAAGATGAATTCAAGTAGCTTTTAAAGAGATGAGTTTTCAGCTGTCTCTTGAAAATTGTCAGGGATTCAGCATTCCAGATAGGGGTGGGAAGATCATTCCACCAGCAAGGAACGGTGAACGAGAATGTTCTGGAAAGTGATTTTGAGCGATGGTACCACGAGGCGTTGCTCACGGTTGAGTCGCACGGTAGAGTCGATGGTTTACACTCTTTGGTCTTCACACGAGGAGGCCGTCACGCGTCGACTGCCGCAGTAAACTAAGCTTTTTTTATACCCCTCTAACAAAATACTAAATTAATTCAGCTGGACACACTTTCCTTATTTTTTCCACAACAAATGGCCAAGCAAGCGCAGACACTGACAAGATACGCGATACAGAACGAGACCAAACGCGATATCAGCACGTCTCCACACAGTAAACAAAACAAGCATTTCCTAGCAATGACAACTGCACTAAACCATATCACCCTGCAGCCCAAGACTGGTTGCCCACTGAAGCTAAGCAGGGTTGAGCCTGGTCAGTACCTGGATGGGAGGCCTCCTAGGACAACTAGGTTGCTGCTGGAAGATGTGTTAGTGGAGGTGTTAGTGAGGCCAGCAGGGGGTGCTCACCCTGTGGTCTGTGTGGGTCCTAACGCCCCAGTGTTGTGATGGGGACACTATACTGACAAAATACTAAATACTAAATACTGTCTTTCGGATGAGATGTTAAACCGAGGTCCTGACTCTCTGTGGTCATTAAAAATCCCAGGATGTCCTTCGAAAAAGAGTAGGGGTGTAACCCCGGCATCCTGGCTAAATTCGCCGATTGGCCTCTGACCATCATGGCCTCCTAACCATCCCCATATCTGCTGATTGGCTTCATCACTCTGTCTCCTCTCCACCAATAAGCTGGTGTGTGGTGGGCGTTCTGGCGCAATATGGCTGTCGTCGCATCATCCAGGTGGATGCTGCACACTGGTGGTGGTTGAGGAGATTCCCCTATTCTATGTAAAGCACTTTGAGTGCCCAGAAAAGCGCTGTATAAATGTAAGGAATTTATTATTATTATTAAACACTAATGAGACAAGTAAATACACTTACGAGCTGCTTTTAACTTCCGCTGATAAAGACTGCTTCTCTCAAAGAGTATTTCTTTACACTGTTTTCTGCTGGCGCTTGAACACACTTTCCTTATTTTTTCACAACAAATGGCCAAGCAAGCACAGACACCGACAAGATACGCGATACAGAACGAGACCAAACGCGATATCAGCACGTCTCCACACAGTAAACAAAACGAAATGTCGTCCGATTATATCAAATGTCATACGCTCACTGGATGTCATGACAACAAATGTCATGAAGGAAAAGTTTCAATATCTCGCCTTCGCTTTCATTTCGGACCATCTCCAAAAAGACATTAAGAACTAAACGTATGATTTACACGTTTAACATGCGTTTATCAAAGTAGGAAATAATTTGTGTTCTTGAAATACGAAATTGGGGCGGGTCCGGATCCGGACCGGAGTCCGGACTTTAAGAAGCACTGCCGTAGATGGTATATTTGTTTTTAGACACTACAGAATTCACACTTCCATTTGTTTTGATAGCTTTCATTCGGAAATGTGGAAAATAGTAATAAAACACAATAATGGGTCCACACTTTTTCTCTACACATTCAAAAGAATGTGTGATTAATTGCATTAGCTATAAAACAGTAACATGATTTCATATTTTTAATCTATGCTATAATGCATAGAGAGCAAATTAATGTTTTTTTCCATTTGATGATGTGTGTGTGTGTGCGCGTGCAACTTCAAGTCATGCTGTATGTGGGTTTCTCGCTGAGTCACCTATCTTTTCTCTGACAAACCTCAAATTATTTGCTAGACTAATTTTGGTTAGTGAGCATTTGTGTCTGTGTGTATTTGTGGTTCTCAGTTACTGGTATAATTTACTGTTAACTCTTTTGTTGGCGAAGCACCTACCTTGTTACTTTTGTCTGTATCTACTAGTTTGTAAATGTAATACCGTAGTTGCTATAAATGGCTTTTTCAGTGCTTTTGTAGTTTAAAGAGTCTGTGTGTGCAGTAACACGCTGCTTCACTGGTGCTGTTCATTTTCACAACTTTTTTTTTTTTTTCATACGTTTTGAAAAAAGTGAAAGGTACTTTCCAACTACATCTGATGTGGAAGCACACTTGTTGCGAATACATCTTTTGCAACGGTTTCTTGTGGGCGTGTAGTTTTGTGCAGTGGTTCTGAACTGGGTTTGCGGTAGGACCCAGGAAGTATGTGAAAAACAAATACAAAAATATATTATCCTACAAATGTAAACGAAAATGTCCTTAAAACCAAACACTGAAATATATTAATATTTCATTGAACTACAGGGATCTGAAGTTATTTCTAAAATGTATAGATACGCTTTTTAAATGATTTAAGACAAGTGTTTGTATTTGCGTTTTCTAACTATATGCATGATTATGTGATTTGTTGCATTTTTCATTTAGCATTTTCAGACAACGATCCATCAAACACTATTGCTGTGGAATCACACTTTTCCTGTGAATACCACGTCTGCTTTTTTTTGCAGTTTCTGCAGTTTCTTGTGGGCGTGTAATGTTGTTATACTTTGTTTTAGGCCAGGCAGTGGTTCTGACTTGGATTTGCTTCAGAACCAAAAACGGACATGACAAAACAAAAACAAGTAAAAAAAACTGATTACCATACAAAAGTAAACAAAAATGTCCTCAAAAACAAATATTTCATTATAAAACGGATAGTTCCGGCCCTTGATTCTGATTGGTTGAGCCAAGTTCCAAGCTGTTGTAAATTACTCTACAAACATACACATTTTGTTTACATTTGGAACTACATTGTTTGGCGGAAGAATAATGCTTTTATTAATATCATTACACTTTATTTGCTCTGTTCTATTTTGTGAAACCTTACTACGTATATGGAATAACCGTTTTATAAAAGCAATAAGCCCCGTGAAGCTGTGGTTTACAGTGAATTTATAACAGCTAAGGGGGTTGTAGGCACTCCGCTTCGCGTCGTGTTCCAAATTCGCTGTAAACCACGGCTTCTTGGGGCTTATGACTTTAAAGAACTACAGGGATCCGATAAAATTATTAACATGACAAAGGCTGAACAGGAATATCGATGACAGTATTTAGGTTTCTAATAATCTTCTAATCAACATGATGGCATTTTTCATAAACATGTTATTTCAAATCAGCTTTACAGAAATTCATGTTGATGTTTATAATACCTTAAAGCATTATCGTCCACATTTACAGTAGCAGTTAAGCATGTTGTCTGGCTTTAAATTTGTGCTGCAAGACAGTAGTCAAAAACATATCTACTAAGGAAGTGTTTCTTAAAAGTTATTTTTGCATTTTCAGGCAATGATCTGTTGCAGTCTGAAACGAGAACACCATTTCCTGATTCACAATTTGCATGGCTCTTCTCATTGACTGGTTGGTCTAACTTCTCTGTTGCAACCTTCTTGCATTCATCTTTTTGAGAAATGTCCTTCTGTGTCACTTATAGTAATTGGACTGATGTTCCCTTGATCACCTTTATTTGTTCTTCCTCTGGTAGTCATAATCAGTTTGCTACTGGTGGGGGCAGTGCTATGGCGGCAGAGGTCTGAATTCTGTGCTCCTCGTTCTCTTTCTCTTGGAGACGAGACGCTTAAAGAATCCCAGGATCCTCTTCTGTTATCCAGGCTGGCTGTAATACATGAGCATAAAGTAAGAGCCACGGTATTTTTATAGCCTTCACACTCAGATTATCTAAATGGGGCTGTCAGCAGCGTGTCTGGATATTTGTTAACAGTAAATCCACTGATCATGTATTTCCAACATATTTTAACTTCTAAGCTAAGAAGGGGGAACAAGAGGTTTCTGAATTCTACATATAGCCTCTATGGAAACAAATGAATTTTTAAATTTTGTTTGATGGCTACTGTTTCATGATTAACTATCTGTATCAATGATTTTATTTCTGTTGATTTGTTTATATAATATGCATTAGATTTTCAATAGTAGCCTATCACACACTGTTTTGCATTGTTTTCCTGCTGACATTTTCAAGTGCCTGCTTATTTGCACAGATAATGTGTTGCTTGCGTTTTCAGGATGGCACACACAATGGTTCAACGCACTGACATGGACAGAGTATTCCTGTGAGAGGACCTCTACATTTCCTGTGGTGGATATCACAGCCCCCATTTCCTGCTGTGTTTGGGAGAGAAACTAAAGTGAAACTAAAGTGAGGCAGGCAGATGGATTCCACACAAACATCCTGCTTGCAGACCCCAAAAATGTGCTTAAATACTTGCCAAATGTCTGTTTATGATTGATAATCACAGAATTAATCAAACAAAGCATTCGAATCAAACTAAGCATTCAGTGGAACATGTTTGTCTTATAAAAATATGCTATTGTCACTGTATCAGACTTTTAAGTCCTTTAACTGAATTGTATCGGTCTGAATGATATCTTTCCATTTGCATTGGGGATTCCACTGGACACGGAACAGCAAAATGTCACCATAACAGTGTTCTGAGCTTCAGGTCAATAATTAAATCAACCATGTTATATGGTACAAACAGTGCTGTGAGTCATTACATGACATTTATCTGTTTCGAGCTTGTTTAAAGGTGCTGTTCCGTTTAGTTCTTACTGCTGTATTTTATGAAGTGATAAATGTCCATTCTTCATTGAATGTGTAGGCGCACAATTTGACCAATCTCTGTCTTGTCTTTGTATGTGTGCGCATAGAGACAAAATCAGTTTGGAAAATATTTTATTTTGAAATTCACCAGTGCTGTTAATGCTGCAGAGCATATACTACAGAGATAGTTGTGTTTATTTATGTAAGGAGAGAATTTCTTTTATTTATTTTTGTGGTTTGGATCACTTTTCCTGTTCTCTTCAAGTTATAGTGTTAAAACTGTTAATCGTTTAGGTGTAAAACAGGTTTTTGCTCTTCCTTCTGATTGTATATAGTTTGAAAAAATGTGGTTTGAATGCTTTTAATGATTCATGGTAAAGGGATCAATAAAATATAAGTTGGAAATTGTACTTTTGATACTGTATATTTTCAGCAAGTTTTCTCTCTCTTTGTGTACATTTACTGATTCTGTTATTAAAGGAGAAGATGGAAACCTCATCTCTAATTCTATGAGAATAGGGAAGTACAGCTAAAAATACAAGGACAATGAGGAATGATAGCTTAAATCACTTTAAGAACGGTTTTGACAGCTACTTAGAATCTCGATTATTTTAAAGAGCTTGTAAAGGAGCAGACGTCAGCAAATGCAGCGTGTGTTTACAATAAACAAGGTTAATTGACATGTGACATGACGTGGCCAAGTATGGTGACCCATACTTGGAATTAGTGCTCTGCATTTAACCCATCACGGTGACCCGAGTTCGATTCCCATCTCAAGATCTCCTCCCAGTATGTTCCTGCTGTCTCTCTACTGTCCTATGTCAATAAAAGCACATATAAAAATGTCCCCACTCGGAATTCACAATGGATTTTGTTAAGCTTTGAGGCTGTTCATTTGCATTACTGACCTATATAATGCTTAATTTGTAAGTGATGAAGCAGGTAGTGCTTCTGCTAGTGACCTGACCGCACTGGGGGTTTTTTTGTTGTTGTTTTTGTGTTTGTTTTTCAAAGCATGCGCTACATATAGCTCCTCTGAAAATGATGTGATTCAAAAATGTTGACGATTAGCAGAAAGGCAGGCAAATTATTATGTGATGAGTTTTTGGCACACAAAAGCAGTTCATTAGGTGTACTGAAATAAATGGGAAAAAAAGGTGTACAAAACCTTTTCCGACTTTCAGTTCAGTTCAGTTTCCTCTTACTTTTGGGGGAGGGGGTCCATTGCTCCAGTCATTGCACATCCTGTTTTACATCCTCATTTCTATATCTTAAAGCGAACTTTACGGATTTAACCGAGTTCCATGTTACTGGGTCAACATTTAGGCCTACTGAGCTAGGAACACTTTTACTCTGTAAAATCACTTTATTGCAGTTTGTTTTACTATCCTTGAGCAAATATGTGTATTTCATAATAGGCTACTGTCAAACAATTAGAATTTTGCCGCAGTGTTTGAGGATTTTTATCCTGCAAATGATTATGAGCAATTTACTTCACTTTCTTTAATGAAATATACTTTTCGCTTGTATTTCTTGGAACATAGTATCATTCATAATATATTATAGCCTATTTTTTTTGTTACTAAATAAAAATTATTTTGTTACACACACACACACACTTCTATTTTATTTATTTATCTTAAGAAAAGTATGCCATACTGTGAAACTTAAAGTTTCTTCAAATGATTAATCAGTGAGGTGTCTACCTTGACAGACTCGGCGTCTGTCACAGCGTTTTTCAGATTATTAATCAGATTTTTTAAATACATTACTGAACCTACTTAAATCCATTAAATTTGAACACCATTTGAGCTCAAGATATCAATGAAGATATCAAACTGTAAATTACTCTGAATATTATTCTGCATGATGTACAAGGCTTAGTTTTCTGATTATTAATATGATATTTTTTATATAAAGTACTGAACCTTGATTTTTTTTTTTTTTACACAGTCCTGGAATTCCCATTTAAATCCATTAAACTTGAACACCACTTCAGCTAAAAGGAATCAAACCACCTGTAAATTACTAAAGCATAATCTGAACAGACAAGCCTTGTGCATTATAGGGAATAATATTCTGAATATTTTACAGATGGTTTGATACCTTTATCTCAAACGGTGTCAGAGTTTAATTAATTTAAGTGGTATACAGTATATTAAACATATGAAAAATATGGTTTTAGTACCGTATATAAAAACAATAAAGGCATAATCTGAAAAACCAAGCCTTGTGCATTACAGGGAATAATATTTAGAGATTTGTACAGTTTGTTTGATACCTTTATCTCAAACGGTGTAAGAGTTTAATGAATTTAAATAGGTAAATTATATAAAACGTATCAAAAATATGGTTTCAGTGCCATATATAAAAACAATAAAGGGATAATCTGAAAAACCAAGCCTTGTGTATTACAGGGAATAATATTTAGATTTTCATTACAGGGAATAATATTTAGAGATTTGTACAGTTAGTTTGATACCTTTATCTCAAACGGTGTAAGAGTTTAATGAATTTAAATAGGTAAATTATATAAAACGTATCAAAAATATGGTTTCAGTGCCATATATAAAAACAATAAAGGCATAATCTGAAAAACCAAGTCTTGTGCATTACAGGGAATAATATTTAGAGATTTGTACAGTTAGTTTGATACCTTTATCTCAAACGGTGTAAGAGTTTAATGAATTTAAATAGGTAAATTATATAAAACGTATCAAAAATATGGTTTCAGTGCCATATATAAAAACAATAAAGGGATAATCTGAAAAACCAAGCCTTGTGTATTACAGGGAATAATATTTAGATTTTTTATACCTTTATCTAACGGTGTTGTCGTTTAATGGATTTATTTATTGCATACATTAAAAGTTGTAAAACTATTATAAAACACATAAAATGGTAATTCACGCAGCCTTGTGCAATAACAGGTAAGTTTTTTCTGAACATGTTATTATTGTCGTTATAGTATAATGTAGTTAAATTGTTTAATAATTTATATGGTTCAATTTTTTAATTTTTTAATTTTTTGCCTTGTGCAACGTAAAGGGCATATATTTATGTCTATCTGAGTTAGTTTGGGCTCAAAACATAAAGAGTTTAATTAGCATGAAACCTAATGTCTAATGAATGTCAAACAACTTTGCCGCCGTGCCTCTGTCTACTACATCATGTTCAGTGTTTCCTCTAGAGACAGCTGTGCCACAGAGACGCATTCGGATTTCCTCATTAGGAGGAGAGAGTTTAAACTATAAATGCAGGGTGTGGATTGTCGTGTAGGCGCATTTCAACATTAACAAACCTCAAACACTTGTGTTGACCATTTCCAAAGAAGCTAATTAACGGTCAGGTAAGATGAATACTATTTGAATCTGTTTCTTTTAGAGGTTTAGATAACCAAACAAGTCTCGGTTTACTTTTTTCCGCAAGTAGAGGGAAAATAACTCAATTTAAATGTGTTTAAATTCTGTTGGTTTTCTATCGTTCCTTTCACAAAACCAACCTGTGGCAAATTCAGTGCAACGACAATGTGTGCTAAAGTTATGTAGGTAGGCTACGTTTTTATAGCTAAATATGAAGATTCTTGGTTAATGTTGTATGATTCTCGCATGTATTGTGTCTTAAATATAAATTAAACGACACAGGTCTGTAAATTTAAAAAGAAAAACGATTATTAATACTACGGTTGTTATTATATTTCCAGTAGGCTAATATAGAAAACGTTTTGAGAGACTAATTAACGGAGATCACTCCTGAGGATAGCCTAAAGCAGTGGTCTTCACTATTTTTTTCATGGGAGCCGCATTGATAGGGCAAAGTCAATCGGAGAGCCACTTTTACCGCGAAGTATCAAGTTACATCCAGACATAAATAGCATGTCTTTTTTTTATCAATCTGTCATATGCAATGCAATTCAAAAGGGGCTATCATTCTTTATCATTTACCAGTCAAATTTGTAACTGAGACCAGATGATTTTTTAAAAAAAAAGAAGGATTACCTTAATGCTGGAAAGACCTTAAGTTATTTTATTTTTTCATACTAGCCCATCATGTATCTAACCATCCAAGTGTACATTCGGCGTTAAGAGCTGTTATACGGTGGCCGAGAAGTGCTAAACAAATCACAATTCTGAAAACAAAATAACAAATTACAAACGCAAATGCAGATCTAAAAAACAAAATAACAATTCAGAAAGCACAACAACAATTCAGACAACATTATAACAAGTCAGAAAACACAGCGACACATCCGAAAACAAATGAACAAGTCAGAAAACACAACGACAAATCAGACAAACCGGAAGAGGTAGGTACAGTGGGTACGGAAAGTATTCAGACCCCCTTAAATTTTTCACTCTTTGTTATATTGCAGCCATTTGCTAAAATCATTTAAGTTCATTTTTTTTCCTCATTAATGTACACACAGCACCCCATATTGACAGAAAAACACAGCATTGTTGACATTTTTGCAGATTTATTAAAAAAGAAAAACTGAAATATCACATGGTCCTAAATATTCAGACCCTTTGCTTTTAGCAAATGGCTGCAATATAACAGAGTGAAAAATTTAAGGGGGTCTGAATACTTTCCGTACCCACTGTATAGTTTGAGACAGCGCCATTGGTTTGGGATTACTCACCGCTGACTGGACTGGACTGACTTAACCCGGGTCGATCGCGTCAAAAAGCCAACAATACACGCCTATCCATCTGCGTCACTGGAGCTGATGAATTACAGCCACTTTTAACTAAATGTAAATAGACACCCCGTATTTTTTATTCCATAGTAAGGGCAATTCATACAATACATTTAAACTGAGCTACTTTAATACCATCTCCGAACTTTCTACCACGACTCTGCTGTTCTTTGGCTGGTTCTTCCCTGTTTAAGTTGATTGACAGATGTCTCGTCCAGTCAGCGGTGAGTAGGGATGCAGCGATTAACCGGTTTCGTGATTAACCGTGCTTTAAAACGTCACGGTTAATTAATCGTAAAGGTTCCGCTAAATTGAGTGTTTCTGTTACACGGAACGGAACTGTTGCAGCTTGCGCAAAACGAAAAAAGTTACACTAGCGGTGCACCAGCTTAAAATGACGTGCTTAGAGGCAAGGAGGCTACTACATGCATTAGATGAACTGTAACAGAGGGACCAAACAGCGAAGCTTTATTTCCACCAGAGAAATGCTTGTCGATAGTGTGGGACCATTTTGGGTACACCAAGAATGACCAGGGTGTCATTTAAATATTGCTGTAAAAAAACTGCTGCTAAAGAGCGAATACATAAGGGATAATGCACGGCTTGCTGTACATTGAACGATTTTAATGCACGGCGTGAAGGCAAGAACCACGCGAAGCTACAGCTCGTTAGCTCCGCATTCTGCCCGCTTCAGATCAGAAAGAGATG